CATCAACAATGTTGACAGATTTTGTGGTCGAATGGTATGATATTTTGAAATTATGCAATATACAAACATAAGTAAAGTCTGCAATAATATGAGTTCCCTCAAAGAAAAAAAGCAGTGCAAGTGTGAGCAACCAAAGAGGAAAGACTCCGAAGCCAGCTCATTCACTGAAGGTAGTTCAAATAAAATTACATTAAATGGTCACTATCTTAAATTTCAAGCTGCTGTTTTATTATTGCCACATGGCGGCACCACCTTCGCTGGTAAACAGACTCCACCATTCAGCCATTCTCATCAGCATTGGTCTCCAATGGTGTGAGGTCTTCGGGAACATATCCTCTCCTAAAAGATTATCAGTCCTATCCTCACTGCCACAGTCGCAGGGGTTGGTTCCCCCCATGTGCTTTTTCCAGTACAGCATATTTTTATAAAGTCTCTTCACACATGAAACTTAGTTTTTAATTACTTTGTTTGCTTCTCAATGAAGAAGATTGATTAAAAGTCCCTTGAGAGCATAATGAGACTAGTAGTGTATAAGCGTTGGAATTTCTTTCAAAAAGTTTAAGGACTGGAAGAGACTTCTGAGGATACCTCATCTAACTCCTATGATACAGTTTCTACATCAACAGACCAAGAAACGGAATCTAAGTAACTAGTTAGGATAATGTAGGGGAGTGAGGGCAGATGGGACTTAGTTCTTTCTCCGGAGCCAACATGCCTCTGATACAGAGCACTAATTGCACTTGAAGGGGCTGAGTATACAAGGCCACTTAAGTGTGCCTCTACATACAAACCAGTGTGAAAAGAAAAAAAAAGCAGTCCAAGTGTAAGCAATCAAAGAGTAAAGACTCCGAAGCCAGCTCATTCACTGAAGGTAGCTAGTTCATTTTGATTACAGGGCCAAAGTGTAGATTTAATTCAAAATCACTTCCGTTTGGCCTCATGTATATTAAGCACTCAAACTGTTTTAACTTTTACAAACCCCTAAATCAAATATGACTACAAAATGGCTTTGAAGCCATTGATTAGCTTAAGAAAGTAATCATAAAATTCTCCCAACAATAAATGTGTTTCTGAGAGAAGCATCAGGCTCTTCGGAAAGTCTTATTCCACTACATGGCTCTAGTGTTGGCAAAGTCAAAACTATCTCAAATTTAGTGATCCACAACACTGAAGGCAACTTCTTCATAGGAGCAGTAGTGAATCATTGCTTTAATATTTTTGTTAGGTACACAATCTGAAATTTTGTTGTTGTTTTTTTTAGAGTGTAGAATGGGCATTCTCTAGAAAATAATATTTTACCAAAGTGCTTGCTTCTCAAGGGAAGGGTGCTATATACTTTCAGAAAGAAAAAAAAAGAAAGAAAGAAAAAAAAAGAAAACTCACTGGGATCCTCTTGTAACATCAAATTGAGAGAAAAAAATATTTATGCACTTGGCTTTGATATTGAGTTCACTGGATAAAGATGCACTTTAGGGGAATCTATGTTTTAATAAGTTGTGTCTACTTCATGTTAATAAGCTTGTGTCCATTCTACTTGGATCTCAAAGGTAACCCATCCAATAATGTAATTACAATCAGTAGAGGCTTTACTAATTGGGAAATATAGTCTTTAATTCAGAAACATTTGAGAACTGCATTTTAGTAATTTCAAAAACACATAAGCTCATCGATAAAAACAAGGAAGACCAGAAAAGGCCTTTGAATCTTTTCTTGATTAAAAGCATTTTAGAGAAAGGTCTTAAATATTGCTTAGTGGGTAAGTTCTTCATTTAAACTGTGGTTCTCAGACTTCTGGGGGTGGTCCCAGATTCCTCTAATAATCCAAATGAACTGAATCCATGGACTGTAGATCAATAATCCTGAACTGCCAGACTCATACCCTGAGCTCAGAGAAGTCTGGTAACCTGCTAAGAGTCACACAGCTCTTTATGCCTGTCTGTACTGTATTTCCTGATTCTGTTAAGAAAAGCAGCAACAACAAACTAGTGAACCCCAGCTCCTCAACTCTTAAAATGCATACAACCAGATACATATGGACAACAAGAGCACAGAGATTTAAAAACAGAACAGAAAAAAGTAACTTGAACAGAATGTGGCATTTCCCTTGGTCTGTTGCTAACGGCCCACATACAACATGCTTTAAAAAAAAACCCCACCCTGGCACTTTTTTTCATCATCATTTAAAAATGCTTCAAGTGGACATTTAGAATGTATGGCAATGGGGCTGTATCCCATCTGGGGATAAATGGAAATGAGTTTTATGGATCAGGGCTAGGTTTTCAGTGGCTGTCCTGCTAAAGATGATGTGTGTTTGGTCTCTTCTCTCTGGTCATGCTTTAAAGACAAACACAATATTTTAATTGTATATTTTCAGGACTCCAAAGCAAGTGACATTAGACATTACTTTTTGTAAAAATAAATAAATAAATAAATAAATAAATAAATAAAGATGTGATTTTAAAAATCCCTTCAGGATTTGAAGATGTGAAGAAATATAAAAAGAATTACTTCTTCCTCTTTTTATTCTGTGCTTTACTTTCTTTTTTTACTCTGAAGCCCATCACACTTTGTTTATAAAAATACAGAGACTCCTGCCTCTTAGTTGTTACCATTGGGATGGCTCTTTTCTGCATATTGTTCCAATTAAGGTTTTTCACACAAATTCTAAGGATTGGATAGCCCATATGCTCATGTACACTCTACATATAATTTAAAACTTCTCTACACCTAGACAAGGGTCCATATCCAGCCAATGGTCTAGAGACCTGTTTTGATGCTCCTGTTGCCAATGAACACTTTCTACTGATAACTATTTGGAAAGAGTTTAAACAATTTTCATGACAACACTAAAAACAGCAAAAAAGTAATTGTGGCTAGCTGAAGTGAAAAACTGACCAATCATGGAATATATGTGTTCACTAGTCCAGTAAGTCTAAATGGGGCTCATCTTCCCAGTTTTGCTCAGTCTCAAGTTTGTAGTCCTGAATGTTACACTGAAGGCATTGTAACCATTCCCCCAATCTAAAAATAGAAATTATTCGATGGGGGGGTGTGTGTGTGTGTCTTTTCTTTAGCCTTTACTTCCGGAGGATTCTAATAGTTCATTGCTAATCCTTCTTTTAATACTGCACACCTGGACACATCACCCTGCATAATATACGCAGTTAGGCGCTGGAGAATTTATTCTACTTTACATACAATCCTCCAAATCCTCTGGCGAGCTTGATGTGAAATCTGACACCGCCAAGTCTCCCCAGCAGGATCTGCCTTTGCTCTCCGTGTTAATAGCCTAAGGCTGCAAGGATTCCTCCGGGGAGACGCGGTGAGGCTGAGTTGGGAAGAGGGGTGACTGCGGGGCTTGTTGCGCCGAAGATTTACAATGTACTTCTTGCAGGCGGCTCAGCAACCCCCTCTGTGGCTGTGGGTGTCTAGTGTGACAGAGGAGAAAAGCTCTCTAATCTCCCAGTGCCTGCCTCAGCCTCTCCGCCGCTCCCCTCCCTCCCGCCTCCCCTGCCTCCTCGCGCTCCCTCGCTCTCTCCTTTGCCTTTCTGCGGGAGTTTCAGTCCCTGAATGCAGCCCGAGCAGCCTGGGCCATCTAGACCGGGAGCCTGTGCACACGCACACACGAGCACACACATGCACACGCACTCACACACACACGCACTCCGGCTCTCCCCACGGGGATAGCGAGGAAACCCAGGGCGTCATCTACCTGAAGGGGATGGCCCGGCCTGGCACTTCTTGCTCACTTGTGTTCTCCGGCGGCCAGAGCCACATCGGAAAGGGGGAGGCTCGCTGTCCGGTCTGCCACCTTTCGCCGCCGGCCGCCGCCGCCGCTTAAAGTGTCCAGGGAGAAGAGAAGGCTCTTCCAGGACAGATTCCCGGCGCAGCTCTGCGGCCCTGGGACTTCACCCGGCTGGTTCACTCCAGTCGCTTCCTCCCCGGCCATCCGCTCATTCCCGGCTGCGGGGTGCCTGGCTCCGGCGCCTTGTCTGCTGCCGCCGCCGCCTCTGCTGCTGCGAGCACAGCCCACCCAGAGGACCGAACGCCGCCGCCGGAGTGCGGAGAGAAAGCGGAAGCCCTAACTTCCCTCTCCACCGCTCCCGGTCCTTCCCCGCCAAGGACCCGTGGGAAGGCTCCGGCGGAGAGCCGGGCGATTGCTCGGCGCAGGGGAGGGCGAGCCGGGAGCCGCGGGCGCACAGGGGCGGGGGCAGCAAGTGCCCGGGCGCCCCGCGTTCGCCCGAGAAGTAGCGCGCGTGGACGAGAGAGAGAACGTTCCTAGTTGGCGCGTCCAGAGCTCTGCCACCCGCGCCTCTCGCGCCGCGCCGGAGAGA